CCAGCCCCACGTTGTGCCTCAGTCACGGCAGAGATGTGCAGGTACTGCTCTGCCCAAAGAGTCAATATGTGCATTTTTTCTGTACTGTTTTTTTCATGTGAAACACGCTTGACCCCTCAACTTTGCTGCATTGCAGACAGTCGTGTACACAGTGCCAATGAAGTGCAAAATGCCATCAGGCTCACGTCAGTGGCACTGTAAGTACCTTATAATCATAAAAGAGATTATGTTAACTCCACCACAAAATGAGTCAGGTTCCTTATTACTTTCAGTTTCCCCTGCAAAACTCTTCTGCCTGAAGGACCTATTGATCCGCTGCTTGCACTCCTTTCTTCTTCTCTCCTTTTAGAGTGGATTTTTTTTTTAACTTGCAAATCCAGCTGAGCTTCCAGGAGCCCAGAGGGGAAGAGAAGCCTAGAGTCCTTTAATCTTTAGAGTCGCATCCCAGGCAAATATTTACTTGGTTGCTTCCTCGCAGTGAGATAAGCTGTGCATTCTGTACACACGCAGCAGCCCATACGCTGCGCCCCTCTCAGCCTCCCCACCACACCGTGACTCCCCTCGCTGCTCCCTCCTCTCCGGTGCACACAGGGCTCCTTCCAGCTGCTTCCTTCTCCCAACAACGGGCACAGAGCAATGTGCTCGCTTGCTCCCAACGGAGAAGATGCCGTTAGAGGACAAACCTCAGAGAAAAACTCTAATTTCTACCAGAAAAATCTCCGCTCTGCAGTCCTGAAGTTACTCGTTGGTGCATGGCCATCAATAGGGTTTGAAAAGTCTGCAAACATGTACAGCCTCAGATGTGAATTGACTGCTGCTTCAGCAGTGGTAAATGTTTGCTTCCCTGTGCACCGACTTTGGAGTTAATAAAACTCATTGACATATGTGAGGAGGGCCCCTTGCCTCCACAGGGGCTCAAGGATCACCTGCAGTTCTGCTCCCTGAGCTTCAATGACACACCTGCACTTCTGCTCCTGTGAAGAGGGAAAGCAATCTGCAAACTTTCTGAGATCTTCTCAGACAGCTAGGAAGCACCCCCGGCCTTCAGCTGCAAAACAAGATGCCTGGGGCTCTCCTAAAATACCTGCAGCTTATCAGCTCTAAGAATAAAGGAAGGAAGCCAAGACTTAACACCTAACAAACACTTATAACAAGAAACGCGTTTAAGAAAATTCTTTTAAAAGGCTCCTGGTAACAGCACAGTCACTCTTTATCACACTGGGATTTCCATCTGTCTGTAGGAAAGGAGCCCTAGTAAAAACATGATTCTACATGTTGCACCTGTAAAACTTTCAACCTGCACGTGCAGACTGAGGAACTGTATCGTGCCACAGGGGTACTCAGTTCTGCAAAAGCGAATGGTAACGTTTCTGTAGCCCCTACTGCCTCGCAGCCAGGCCTGCATGACCACAAGCTGCACTTCCACATCAGGTTACTTCTTTGCAGCCTAGGCTGATGCTTAATTTAGTTGGGCACCTGCTCAGTTCTCACCTGGAAACTAGTCCAGTGAAAATCCTCGGGATAGCACCACTTCCCCAAACGTTTGGATTGCACTGGCTGGTGCTGGTGGAGGGCTGACAGCTTCCCCCAACACTCCTATTTAATTAATCTTGCCATTCGCTGCATGGAAATTAAGGCTGGTACATCCAAAGGAGCAAGGAATTCAGGCAACCATGGAAAATCAATGGGATTCAGACACCTCATTCCTGGATGTTCCCTGGAAACTGTACACCAAAAACTTGGATACAAGCAAAGCTGGTTTCCAGAGGCACCTCCCAGGGATTTGGGGCCTCTTTTCTGCCGCGTTGGGATCACGCCTCTTCAGCGAGTGATTTAGGAACTTCCCTCCCCAAGCATAAAATCCCTGTAGCACCTGAAGCTCTCTATGTCCACCTCCAATAGCCCACATAAATCACATAAAGCACTTCAAAAACAGCCTTGGAGAACCCACATTGCTTTAGAGACGCACGCAGGTTTGATTTATCCCACATTGCTCACACATATGCTGCTATTAAAAAAAAAAAAAAGAAAGAAAAAGAAAATTCTTGGCTTTGGCTGCTTCTTTCCCTTCACTTACCATACACACTCTGAGCAGACAAATGTATTGTGTACAGCAAGCTTGTGCTGACAGATAGCCAGACTGTCTGCTACTCTTCAACAGAGCATCCTGCCTACGTTATGTTTAGTCCCTAGTTTGTCTCTCTGTCATTTTAGGTTTTCATTTACAAACATTTATTTTCACACAGTGAAGTTTAAAAAAAAAACAAAAAAACAACAAAAAAAAAACACTCGTGAAGGTAGACAAAATTGTTCATTAGAATTAATAGCTAGTCCAAATAGAGGTGGAATGAAAGACTAGACCTTACTAATAATGATAAGCCTATCTTTAAAAAACATCTATTTGTCACAAGAGCAGCACCTGAGATTAGGAGAGCTGAAAAGTATTTTAGATAAAGCACTTTGGTCACTAGTTTCACTTCCTGGCTCTGATGCACTACCAAGCTGGTGCACTTGAGCTGACAGAGATCTGGAAGGAATGTCTGCAAAAAATGCTGTCAGATCAAGATATTTATTTTCCATGTTGCAGTTTAGTAACTTTGAAGGTAGACCTTGGCAAACATACATGGAAAAGACCAACCTGGCCCTTCCTTTTTCCAAAAGAAATAAACTGGTGCAACAGTGGAAAAATAAATAAAATAAAATAAAATAAAATAAAATAAAATAAAATAATAAAATAAAATAAAATAACAGCTAAAAGGCAGGAGAGGCACAGAATTAAAATACCTCTGTAGTATTCCTTTCTTTTTCCTTGGTCATCCACGGGATGTCTGCTGAGTCTTCTTCCATAGAGCTCAGACTCCAACAAACTGTATTTCTTCCTTTCTCATGACTGCATTTTTTCATTTTTCCCTTTCCCTCTGCACTCTCCTCCTTTCCCACACACTGCTGCTGCACTAAGCACACACAAGTATAAAGCAAAGCCTCCTGTCAGGAATATTCCAAAAGATCTCATGAGGAACTAGGCAGACTCCATTTCTTCTCCCTCCCCAGGTTTCGGATCCAGGTGATGCAGGGGGCTGAGCAGCAAGAACTTCCATGTTGCCAGAATTACTACTAGCATTCATTGCAGATGTCCTGACAGATGAAAGCATCTCCCTGCTGCTACCACTTATTTTGTGACAAAAATGTAAAAATAATTCAACCACCAATCACATCCTGTCCGCTTTTTCACTTCGTCCTCATGCACACTTTTTGCTAGGGCTGAAGAGGGGTTATAGGGACCTATCCAGGGGAGAAGGCAGCTGCCTACAGCAAAATATTCAGATTTTGACCATTATCGCCCCAAACTCATGTTCCTAATCTGCCCCTTTCCAAAAGGGTTCAGCATCTCTTGGGGGGAGGTTCTCAGAGCTCATGCAAGCCATGTGCTCCCTGCGTGGTACACAAAGCATCAAAACACATTCCCAGGCTGAAATGACCCAAATAAAGCAACTTTGCAGGTCACTGTGCTGCAGTAAGTAAGACTATATCTGCCCTGTTACACAGTTAAACTCAGTCTTAAGCGGGAAGCTAAATAATCATAGCAAAGCCATCTGCAGGAGAGCCTCACCACTACAGAGGCAGTTGGGAACACCTTTTACTAAGGATTTTGGGAGCACGAGGAGGTCCCTGTAGCTACCTTAGCGAAGCACAGTGTGCAGCTGAAGGCAGCAGCCCGTTCCTCAGGTCAGTGACCACGGCTGCCCTACTTGGCAACCACCTCGGACAGGAAGCAAACGGCCTACAGGCAGCGGGCCCGACGCAGCCTCGGATGCAAACTGCTTCTCTGAAGAATTTATCCTATTTCTCCTTCTACTTTTGTGACCAGAGATCCAAAAAATCACGAGGAAAAAGTACACTAGATCTGCTCCTGGCACCAGTTAAAATCGCAGCGGAATTCTCAACCTTCCTAGCAAAAGCAACGCCAGGATTCCTGTTTCCAGGACACTGACTGGCTGAGTAGCCTCTGCTGTTACACCACAAAGTGCCCAGGAGAGATGGGGAAAGAAAACAGCCCATTTGCCATCGACTCTTTGCCATTCTGCGATACTAAATCAGTTTAAGCCAGCAGGGCATTTAATTTCCTCATTCAGAAATCCTCCCGCCTAAGCAGGCTCTTTTCATCACAAAATACCAGTGTAACATCTGGTGGTGCTCTGGATTACTTGAGGACCTGAGATTCAGGACAAAGAGCATCTACTGCCTGTTTTTCAGCAGTACTCAGGATCCACTTACCCACTCAGAATTGATAGAATCTCACTTTGGAAAGGGGGGGGAGGAGAAAACCCCCAGCACCTTGATAAAAAGAACCATCTTTAGTGCTCTCTGTGAGTGTCTTTTCAAGAAAATTCACAGCCTGCGCGTGGCCAGGCCCTGGGGACCCGCTCGGTTTCGGCTCAGCTCACAACCCTCGTCACCGCCGCTGCACGTGGGCGGCGCGTCCAGCCGCGACGGCCGCCGCGGAGCTTCCACCCCGGCCTCCCCTGAGCCCAGCTGCGCCCTCCGGGCTGCAGCGCCTCACGTGGGGCTCGACACCATCCGCTCCTTCAGCGGCCTAGGCAGCCACCTTGCCATTCAAACACGGACATGCAGCAAACTGAGACAGAGAACCGCAAATACTGTCCAGAAAAGTTCAGTGCCCCCAGCCAGTAATGGTTGGGACTTCAAAAGACACCACCTATTCCAGCCTGTCCTCAGCTCTTTCCTCCCCAACGCTGTCACACCATGTTTGCTTTAAAATTTAAGTGGCTGGATTAAAATATATATATATTTCATAGGAAAAAGAGGGCCAGTTCCTGTGATAAGTAACAGTTAAATAAAAACACATGAGCAACTGTAAAAGAACAACCAAATAAGAGAACAAGGGAAAAGCAACCCTGAAGGTGTGAACCCTGCAACACTTAAGTCATGAATCATATTCGCAACAATTTTTAATTGTGCTTTTCTGCAATTACACTTACCAAAGTAATCAGCCTTTGGACGCGCATCCATCTCCTGCTCCAGCCGCTGGGTGAGGGCTTCCAATTTCAGTTCAGCGGCAGACGGTCCCTGCTCCGGCGGCGGAAGGAGGGTCTGGCAGGGCAGCTTGACTTTTGCAGCCCCGGAGTTTTCCTGGTGCCCGGCGTCGGCCTGCAGCGCGCTCAGGCCCTCTCTGAAGGGTGGCTTGGGAGCATCCGCCGTGGCTGGGCTGCGCAAGGCCGCACTGGGGGGTCCGTGCTCGACGCTCGCACCGCTGCTGTTGGGCCGATGGTTCTGCCCGTGGGCGACGAAGTGGCCGGCGGTGCCGGGGTAAGCGCTGGCCGGCTGGTAGTCAACGCTGGGCGGCACAGTCGCCGGAGCGGAGCCGGGAGGGAAGGATGGGGGACTGTCGTGGTACCACAGCTGACCGCCATCCCTGCTCGTGTCTGCCGCAGGCATATCCGCTCCGGCACTTGGACCGCGCGTGTCGGAGAGGCCCAGAAAGCCCGAGGCCGGCGGCGTGGACGGGGCGGAGAAGGATGACGAGCGATGCTGCGGGAGAGTCGCTTGGGCCCCCTCCTC